TATATATATATATAATGAAGCTATGTTTTGTAGTTAATAATACAAACTCAACAGCAATTCCAAAAGGTGTTAATTGTTGCTGGAGCTATGTGTGGGGATATGTGGGGCAGGAACTTGGCTGAGGACTGAGCTTCAGGGAGGAGCTTTAAAACTTTAAATAGGTGGAGCTTTGTACCAGCAAGCATACGCACCTCCACATGGCAGGAGATTCAAGAACTTTTCAAACATGTATGAACAATTTAAAGCAACACTCTAGGTATGTTTTTGATTAGAGAATAACATTAGAACATGGTAGTCGATTTTGCATCCCTCTCATTGCAGTATATATTTTAAAATGAAGATTTTTGATATTAAATGTATTGTAATATTGTATGTAATAATGTAAATATTTGTGTCTCTCTTGTTTACATGCAAAATATAAAAGCAGACCAAAACATTGCCAACACCTTCAAATGTGTTTATGGTTTAAACACTTACAATGACCCCAAAGCTCACCAGATGATAAAAGCCAGTTTAATAATATTCTGTATGTAAGAATACCCAGCATACCGTGTAAACAAACAGGCACTGTAGGACATACGGTGACTCATCCTCACCGTCCTGCTGCCTCGAATGATCACGAAATCCACTTAAAATATCATCCAACAAATTCATTTGCTCATGTTTTAGTAACGGCTGTTTAAAAATGCATTGCTAAACAGTTTACGGATCTTATCAGCCCCTTTTTCTAATCTCTAGATTTGTGTTGTTTGATCACAGATAAATATTTAAACAGAGCCGGTGGAACGTCCAACTGAAAAGACAACTTCATACTGACTTGTTGAAGACAGAAAGATGAGCTGAACCTCAAACAGTCGAGTCTAAGGGGCCAAATTCTCTCATTTTGAGCTGTTAAAAGCTGTGTGTATCCATGTGACAGCAGAAGACTTGTAGATCAATAAATGCCTTCAGGGGCACAACAGGGATCATTGAGAACATACAGCTGTTTGTAGTTCAGCTGTAGAGTCACTC